TAGGTTGTTATGAGTGTACTGATATAAGTAGGACACGTGACATCCCAGCAACTTTGAGAAAAAACAATTTATATTGGAGTTGTCTCGAAATGGCTATGCATATTCATGACATGAGGCTAGTAGCATAGCGTATATCTCCATTGAATACAGACGGTTGACGTCAACAACCCTCATCAAATATTCCCAAAATAACGAGATGTATCCACCAATACAAAGAGAGGAATAGGCAGGATTTAACAGCCCACCGTTCCACTCTGTGGACAACGATTCAAATTGTTACATGCTGACTAGACCGGCACGCGCATGTGTCCTTCCAGCCACGATCAGGACACGCAGGTTGAAATATCAAAACGAACGCTGAACCAACTATATTAATTTGGGGCCAAGTCAAAACACATGAAACATTCATGGACATTTAGCTTGCGGTTGCTAGCTAATTTGTCCTGGGATATACATATTGGCTTGTTATGCACAAGGTCCTTTTTTTCTGGATCTTTGTGGAATCCTTACCCATTTTGAGTCACAAATAATCGTGTGTCCTCTACTCCGACAATTAATACACATATAAAATGGGAAACCTAGTTAGTTTCTAGTAATCTCCTCCTTCAGTCTTCTTCTTCTGTGGACTTTATATGGCAGTTAGCAACCAACTTTAAGGTGCAGTACCACCACCAACTGGACAGGAGTGTGGACCTCAGTTCATCTTTCAATCACCCACGTGGGTATATGCTCCTAAAAACTAATGAGGAGATAGGAGAGGCGGGACTTGCAGCTTAAAAAATAGAACCAAGTTCTATTTTAGCGCCTGGATGAAATGATTGAATAACATGTATGTACATTTATTTTGTAACACTCGCGCACGCAACGCGGGCGGTGTGGTCAGCATGTTAGGGTGGAGACATGAGTATCTCCTCATTATTTCCAAATCTCTGACCTTTACCATTTGTGCAGACAGAACCCTAAACAGGAAACTGAGGCCAGCTGGCAGACTTCCGCTTACCCTACGTGCTGCAATACATAGCCAGCCAGCTGTATTGCGGTGGCTTCTGTACTGCTTATGAATTTGTAATGTGTTATGAAACCCTTACGTGATACCCATCCCATCCATACAGATGGCGCTGAAGACACACTAAGACCTGGAACAAGCTGAAGGCAGCTGCAAGAGCGGGACCAGTTTATGCCCGGTGAACCCTCACATGCTTCCTAATAATTTATTCTCTGCAATTATTCAATCATCCAAAGCAGCCCAAAACCAGTCATAAATCCATCACTCTTTTGTAAACTGAGATATAAAACCACTTATGTAACTAATGTGTTTTTGCTGTTTTTAACTTGCAGTTAATGGAACATGTGTTTGTAAAATGGTTGAACAATCATGCATCAAGTCACTATTAACCAGAAAATGTGTGTTATAATTCTGTACTACATTATCAATGGTAAGTGCAGTCTTTCTACTGTGTGGCATAAAGGACAGGTCATAGCCTGCATTTAAACAAGCATTATACACCGTATTACAAATGAGGAAATGTTGTGATTTTAGTGAATGTACACCTTTTCATATGTTTAACTACCTAATCTACATACTTCAAAAATAATACGTCAGTTCCCTCTGCAATTAAAAACGCATGACATACCCCCTTTATAAATGAAAAAAGTTTATTTGTTAGTGCGGTGTGTATTGAATGCTACATACAGATATCTTAGCATGAATGTACACATACTGTACGTTGTCACGTAATTATTTTTTTACTACGTCATTCACATACAATTTGAAAAAAAGTTATATGAGGAATAAGTACTATCTGAAGCACTAATACCTGGGACAGATTACAGGAACTAACACAGTAAGCATGCACAGAACAGAGAAAACAGGGTCAACAGGCAGGGGCTAACTGTTATGCACTACACTAGATCAAAATTCATGTCAATCACATTCCTAATGACCCTTCCATCAATCAAACTCCCCCCCTACATCCCAAAGGCCCTGTTAACTCCTTCCAAGAATATAGATATTCATATAGATTTTAAACAATGTTTATATAAATGTGGTATTAATAAACTGAAAAAAAATAAACCGTATACAGTACTTTTACAAAAATAAGACATTCCTAACTGCTCTTTTATGTTGTCTTAATGCCAGATGAAAGACATGAACACATTTAACAAAAGACAGACGAAGACAAATGACACCAAATGTTAGCCTACCCACATGAGTACAAGGAACAGAGCAACAACATGGAGGCAGTCAGATCTGGAGTAGAATGGGTTTCTAATTAACCCTTACCCCAGATTAAGGCCAAACAGTCTTAACTGAAACTCATTATAAACAGAACCTTCCTCAAAATGATAATTACCTTCTCCTATCATAAAATACTTTATCAATACTGCACTCAAACCACAAATCCACCACCAAATGGGACAAAACAAGTCCCCTTGAAATGCTTCACTTGCAAAAAACAAAACAAAAAAAATACCTGCACACACCAAAAATACCAAATTGAGGTCAATTTGAGCCACATTGAATTTGACTTCAAAGTTGACACCGATTTTAGCCTTATTCTTGAGTGCCTTACTACTTACAGACTAGAGGGTAAATCCATTATTTTTGCAATTAAGCTGTAGCAGCCCATTTTGGTAAGGATGCTAGCTTTTTTTTAAAGGCCATAAAAACCAGAAGTTAGCATGACCTGCACAAATATACTGCAGATAAGTTTCTCTGACATAAATTGGGTTAGCTAAAACTACAGACCTGCCCAAGTTCTACCCCAAATGTATGTATTATACAATCCACTTCACAGCCAGGATTCCATTTTCACAGACATGATTTAAAAATCATTCATCATAAAAACCTCAAAAGAGCATGAGTGGTCAGAATCCTTGTAGGGCTTACAGACAGAATCTTCTCCTTGGAAACTTGCAACATACAATCTATCCTAACTATGACTTTAAAGAAGAAGAAAAACATTTCAGTCCCCATATGATAAAAAGTAGTAACATATAAAACAGCCAATGCAGTTTTAGAAACAGACAATGGAACTGGTAAACATACTCAAATACATACTGTACTATATACACGCAGTAAGAGGAAGCTTGATCAGGTTTTAGACATTTTCAGCACAGAGTCTACACTGATCTCTGTAGGAATATGAACTGTATATTAGTGTGAAATATAGATTTCTATACAATTTCTATATAGCAGTGAGATGATACTTCAGCTGGTTAATCTCCACACCTTTGGGATCTGGTGCAGTACAATGGTGTTTTGATACAAACATATACTTCCAAATACACACAAGCATTTGTAATATTTCACAATAGCACAATAAACCCTCATGTAAAAAAAAAAAAACCGTATAGATGTGGAGTTGATACTTTTACATAAAAATCTTAAAGATACTAAATCCCAAAGGGTAAAGAGGTGTCGGATTTTAGTGTATATACATACACTGCTACTACAGTGATATGAGGTTGTGGAAAAGTAACCAATACGCAATAATCTCAACCCACTACCCACCCAACAAAAACATTTTATATCAGAGTTGATACAGCGTAATTGATTCCGAAATAAAAAAAAGCAAGAGGCCATCAGCAGACTGTAGCAACTGCTGAAACGTAGCAATAATTCAAGTCTTGAGTATCCTGGGTAAGAGTATGGAACATTACTGCATGCAGGAACTCTGTAGATGGGTTCTAGAGTTACAACCACTTTTGTCAAGAGAAGAGTTCTGGGTCATGGTGCAACCCTTAACACTTACAGACCAGTCGAGCAGGTTGAGGGGAACTGGTCCAACAAGTCTACAAGGTAACTTATGTACAAATACAAAGCTTTTCATAGACAGAAATGTAGGCTAATGTGGTGATTTACATTTCTTTCTTTGTTTCCTTCTTGGGCAGTTGATTCAAGAAGGATAGAGGAGAAGGTAATTGACCTGGGCCCAGTTTCCCCAATAGCAATGGAACTTAGGCTTCCGAGGGTTTTAACGATGCATCTTTCCTACAATGGCCGAAGGTGTAACATGCGTTACACAAAACACCACGCAGAGAGAACAGTCGCTAAGTGCATCGTTGGAGCATGTGTCGATACTGATAGGATCGAAACAGAAGTATTTCACAATACTGACTACGGATCAGCTCCTAGAGAGATATTATCACCTACCGCTGCAAATATTGAGGTGGCTTATTCTAATGCTTACTCAATAACAATGCACAAAATCACTGATTTGGCACATCATTGCACACATGTTAGGCTACACATGAAATACAGTATATTGAGACAAATGAGACAGTGTACAACTAGCAAAATAGAACTCAATTTACTGAACGTTAAATGTATTTCAATATGGTTGAAATAGGACTATAGCCTACTGTATTTATATTTTAATGCAGTTATTTCGGTTTTCATTTGACGCTTCGTTTTATAAGTTGCTTGTTTGTATCAATTGCAAAGACATTGGTAACTTTGCATTTGTAGTCAACTTCGTTCACAGAGACGGATAAACAATGTGAGTCTATGTTTAGTGGAGATCTTCTGTGTATAAAGTGACGCAGGGAGGCAAAAAAAAGCATTTGGCGCACTTCGCTGTTCTACGAGTGGTCTCAGGCAGGCGTTAGATTACGAGCGTTTTCAAGTGCAACGTTAATAACGACGGTTTTGGGAAACAGCTCAGAGATTTCACGATGCTCCTACAAAGGTTCTAACGATTAACTTAGCCTTAAAGATGCTTTTGGGAAACCGGGCCCTGGACTAGAACATCCACCCTAGAGTTTGAAGTGAAAGACATATCCTTGATGGTTTATTCTCCTCTGTCCTTCAGATGGTAGCCCTAAAGCAGTGACACTTGGCAGTACAATGAGAAGCTGTGACTTCCATTTTTATGAGACAATGATCATTTGTATGGTTTTTTTGGGGTGGGGTGAGGTTATGGATTCTATATGCTGGGGGGAAATTAGGGCTAGCCAGGGACATTTGCTATGAACTGGAAAAGAAGGGAGGGGCGTGACTATATGCAAGGTGGCACAGAGTAACCTACAATAGGGTAACCCACTCCTTCAGATATGTGCTGGACTGTGTGCTCCTGCAAAGCTCCCAGGTCTCCAAAGCATTTGAACTGGGCATCTCTGGAAAGCACCAGAGTGTGCACTCCAGAGATGCCCAGTTCAAGTGTGTTAAGCTGGGTGCTGCAAATTAATGGTAGACAGGGACGTTTGCTATGAACTTGTACAGAATGGAGGGGCATAACTATATGCAAGGTGGCACAGGGTAACCCCCTCCTTCAGCTGTGTGCTGGACTGTGTGCTCCTGCAAAGCTCCCAGGTCTCCAAAGCGCTCTCCACACCAAACACACTTGAACTGGGCATCTCTGGAATGCACACTCTGATGCTTGGCCAGGTGCTCCCGTTGCTTGAAGCCTTTATCACAGCTTGCACACTTGTAAGGCTTTTCCCCGGTGTGGACTCGCCTGTGCCGATTCAGATCAGAAGAGTACTTGAAGCGCTTCTCGCAGTCGGGGCACTTGAGGGGCTTCTCTCGGGACGGGTCGCAGCGGTGCTGCACAAACTCTGAGGATGACAGGAAGCGGCGGTCACAAAGGGAGCACTTCAGGGGCTTCTCTTGACAGTGTGAGTTCTGATGTCGCTGCAGTGTCGAACTCTTCTTGTATCCCTTGCCGCATACGTCACATTTGTAGGGCTTGTCTGTGTCCCTAGATGAAGAGGACGATTCACCGCACTTGTGGCGCAGCAGCTCTCCTGACTGACTGAATTCCTTCTGGCAGGACGCGCACTTGAACAGGTTCTCCATGCCATGGACGTGCTGGTGGTACAGCAGATGGGATGGCTGCAGGAAGCCTTTGTCGCAAAGGTTGCACTTGAAGGGGCGGTCAGAAGGGTTTTTGTGTGTGCGCCTATGGCGCACTAGGGCATACTGCTGTTTGAAACTCATCTGGCACTCCTCACAGTGGAAGGGACGCTCCTCAGAGTGAGTGCGCTCATGCTGCCGCAGGTCTGACGGACGCTTGAAGCCTTTTCCACAGGTGGCACAGCGGAAGGGGCGTGCGCCTTGTGGGTGGCATGGATGATGCAGCAGCTCAGAAGACTCCTTGAAGTGCAGTTCACACAGGTTGCACTTGAAGAGGTGCTCTCCGGAATGGGCGTACATATGGCGCACCAGGTGGGAGCGGTGCTTGAAGCTCTTGTCACACACAGCACACTTGTAAGGGCGCTCAGAGCTGTGGGTGCGCTGGTGATGGGCCAGGTGAGAGGACTGGCTGAAGCTCTTGTCACATGTGTCACACTTGAAGGGCTTCTCTCCGGTGTGCACACGCTCGTGGCGAGCCAGCTCTGAAAGGTGCCTGAAGCCCTTCTGGCAGACAGAACACTTGTAGGGCCTGTCACGGGCCGATGGAAATGTAATTGAGGAAGAGGATCCCACTGTCGCACTCCCACTGGAGGAGGCTCCATCAGCAGATGGCTGCTGAGGGTTGGTAGCAGAGGAGCTAGGGGTGGTGTTCCCAGAGGAGCCCGGTCGGTAGGTCTTCTCACAAATAGAGCATTTCATGGGGTTGGTGCTGTTGTGTGAGGTGTGGTGCTGTGCCAGCGAGGTGAGCAGGGAGAAGCCCATCTTACACACACCACACACAAAGGGCTTCTGCTCCACCTGCACACACTGGTGCTCCAGCAGATCTGTGGCCTGGTGGAAGATCTTCATGCACTGGGTGCACTGGAAAGAGCGGTCCTGGCTCACCATACACTGGTGCTCATGTGGGTTGGCCAGGTGGGAGATGTCGTGGCCGCATGCCCCACACTTGTGGCCGCCCTCGCCCCCTACCTGCAGAGAAGGCTGCTGTACCTGGGCAGGGTGCTGCTGCTGCTGCCCATGCTGCTGGCTGTGCTGCTGGCCATGCTGGTGCTGCTGCTGCGACTGCTGCAGAGCAGGGTCAGGCTGCAGGACGATACCGTAGACGGCACAGCCCAACGCGTTCTCCGCCCCTGGTGGTATGGTGTGCACCACCGGAGGGGGAGCAACAGCGTGCTGCTGCCACGCCTCGGTCATCCTGGCTCTCGTGTAGGGATTCAGTTTTATATTGTAGTGGGTCTTTTTATGAAGAAAAATCAAAAGGTACGTTAATAGGTGGATGGGGTGGAAAATCTGAGTAACTTAGTCTGTCATGTCAGTGGCAAACATAAGCACTTAGAAAATATAAAAAGGGCTTGTTTTTAGGATGCAATAGATTGTGTCTGAAAATAATATGCAGAGGAATAACACCTGCTGCAAAGACACATTTAGAACAAATAAAATACACCGTCTCCACGCGTCTTCAGTCCTCTTCTGATAACTGCAAGAAAAGGAAACGATTATTATTCAACTATTCATTACTACAGTGTGTGGTATGGCTTCCTAGAAGATGTGCAAAATCTCAGTTTCACAGAGACTTCCCCTGAGACAGAATAAAATTTCAGAGCCCAAAAGCATAGACTTCAGAGGAAGCAACACTGCTACTCCTATATGGGCAATTCCACAGTAACAGAGTGAGGCTGAGACTCACTTTTTCACTTTAAAATGTATGCCAAGCAAAAAACATTGATTGCAAAGTTTAACAAACCATACTATATGCAGAAGTCTACTTTTAACAATTGCCACTGAAAAGGTTACTAAAACACACTTGAGGAACAATGCAGATGGAAAGTTTGGTAACAGAATAACAGTAAAATCTCCCTCAGTTTTTTTATGTGACCACGTTTTCCAAAAACTCTTCAATATCTACTCCAAATTAAGATTCAAAGATGTCTGCAGAAATAATGAGTTGTCAGCTATGATATGACACCTTGAGTGAAAATATATATATATATATTGTTTATTGAACTACACTAAATGAAATGGATCAACACCCGGTAACAGAATGACATCATGGGTCCTTAGCTCAGCTGGTAGAGCACGGCGCTTGTAACGCCAAGGTAGTGGGTTCGATCCCCGGGACCACCCATACACAAAAATGTATGCACGCATGACTGTAAGTCGCTTTGGATAAAAGCGTCTGCTAAATGGCATATTATTATTATTGATCTGTACTATACAGAAATGCATAACTATGAATGTGATTCTCTTCATGGTGATGTATCCTGAATAGGTACACAAAGGTAGAAACATTTAATATCCTCCTTTGCATGTTTGGGTATTATTCTATACATTATTCTAATGAGCTCTGCCCCGAACCATGACCAAATTTGGTTGGTCCAGACCTACCACAGAGAGACACGTTTTAATCACTTAATTCATAAACAAAATTGTTATCAGTAAAAACACTAACTAATTGGTAGGTCTACCTTTAATTGTTACCTCTGTGAACTTTCATAATCCTCCCTCCTCATATGGGAGAGAAATCAGAAAATATCTTAAAGATATGTTGGTTTTTGGTAACAGAATGAATAGACACTAGGCAATATTTCTTAAGGCAAATAATTTGTGTCAAACTAAATATACATGTTAATAACTGTTAATATTAGTTGGCAGGGGCCTTTACTTCAACATTACTGTGTTTTTATGTATTTCTAATATCTTTTAATACTTTTTCTAGTAGATGTTTTTTAAGACCCCTTTTCCATCTGTGTGACCAGAAATCAAAGCCTTTGCTTATTCCTAACTACATTTTTAGGATGGAAAATTGTTTAAAAAAACGTATCTATGCCTTCATTTCCCCAAAACATACTCTTAGCTTTCGTTTGACACCAAATGTGATACGTTCCTATAAACTTCACGTTGGTGGTGCTCATGGGTTTTACATGGAAATAACCCTATCCATCCATCAGATTAAAGCTCTAGAAGGATAGGCTACTTCAGTCCTACTTACCTGTCTAATGATCCATCACTACAAACACACTGAAATATATCCATATCCAAACAAGTGCCCTCATTTTAGACGTATTACAGAGAGGCAGACAATATCTAAACTGGTACGTCTGAGTCCAGGCTATTTTTTCAACAACATTCTATCGGGTCAGCAGAACGCCACTACCCCTTTCAGAATGTGTCAATCATATTGGTTTGGGGTGATCAACGATCTGTCTGTGTTGGCAGGCTTTCGGTGACGAGTATTTGACCCATCCGTTTCTCTGCCATCCCATTTGAAGAAATCCTTCACCCCCATCCCCCCATGATTACAGTATTGGTTGTATGCATATCCAAATAATCCACAGCGTGAACACAATCAATACGCATCCATTGGTCGGTGTTCGCGCACTAATGCTAACCGTAGAAAAAAACTCGATTTACCTAGCTAACTACGCCATTTGCCACAAAAGGGAGAAAAGTATACGGCCCATCATTTTTACAGTGGCGGGCGACAGTCTCAGATTGCAGCAGCAGAAATCTGTATGGCGAGGTAGCTAGTTAGCATTTGCTAATGCTGGGCTAAGAAAATATTTGGCTATTGACGTTGTTAGCTAACTGATCAACAGAAGCAGGACACTTGTGACATATTGAGGACAGTATTACTGGTAACATACCTTTAACGTTACACTGAAAGTTATTTGTAGAGTCTGACAATTTTGCCAGAAATTACAAATTCTTCGTAGGCCGAACAATATGTTCCTTCATCTACGCAGCCTCGGTCTGTCTCTTGTTCAAGCGGGTTTGCCACCAGGGCCGACGAATTCAGAGCTTTTGTGTCGTTCGAAATGACCCCACTACATTTCTAATATTCTATTTTGCCCAGAGGGGTAACTTCGTTAACACCCTGTCAATGTGTGATAGCTAGGCCAAAGCCATTCTCCTCCCGTTTAAAAAGGCGAGAATATTTGGAATAAAACGTTAGCTAGCTAACTGGCTAGCCTCAGAGATCCTGCCCAGGCACGGGAACATGAATGATCCAATGTTTAATTGGCATGCTCACAGCATATACCCGGAACCTGCAACGAATAGCATTTATCTTTCTTCAATTAGTATAGCTATGCATTACAGTAATACACTTGTGAATTTTCACAAATAGTGTTATTTGATTGTAAGTAAGGGTGTGTGGCTGCCTTGCTATGCTATCTAGAAGATCATGCTACTATAAAGGCAGGATGTTACAAATAATCACTTCTGACAAAACAATCACATTGAATTTGAAATACTCCACATAAGTAGCTAGTTAAATGATACTAACATTAAGTAAATTATGATTAAATATAGGCTACTGTCCAAATTATTTCAAAACAAAACGTCACTGAATATGGAACCTATTTGAACGTACTTGTTTCAGGGGGACATAAATTACCCACAACAACTGTTTGTTTTTATCGGAAGCCATTCATTTGTCAACGTTTCTGTATCGTTACTGCACATTATTATTTTTTATTTTTTTATGACACAAATCAAGAAACTTGATATAAGAATTGATATATTGATTTATGAGCTTTGCTTAGAAGAATGTTAGTCAGCTATAGTAGCAGCTCTGAAGAGGAGACAGAACATTTACAATTAGGGGGGGATGTAACAAAAAGGAAGCAAAGTTGGCACAAAGATGACAACTCGTTGAGGAAGAAGCACAAATCAGAAGAGCACAAAGCGAGGTAACTTTTTTTCCCAAATATTGTTTCAACTATTCTTTATCATCAGCTAGATAGCCTATGATATCTCTCAAACTAGTATGTCTCATTGTTTTAAGTTGCTTTTTCCTAATTGTTTTCCTCAAATCAAATTGTATTTGTCACATACACGTGTTTAGCTAATGTTATTGCGGGTGTAGCGAAATGCTTGTGCTTCTAGTTATATCTAACTATTTCGCAACATAAACCCAATACACACAAATCTAAGTAAGGAATGGAATTAAAAATATACATATATGGATGAACAATGACAGAGCAGGGCATGGACTAAGATAAAGTAGAATAGTATAGAATACAGTATATACAGTACCAGTCAAGTTTGGACACCTACTAATTAAAAGGCTTTTTCTTTCTTTCTTTTTCATATTTTTTTTTTTACATTTTACATTTTTTAAAATTTTTTAGTCATTTAGCAGACGCTCTTATCCAGAGCGACTTACAGGAGCAATTAGGGTTAAGTGCCTTGCTCAAGGGCACATTTACGTCATTTAGCAGACGCTCTTATCCAGAGCGACTACAAATTGGTGCATTCACCCTATAGCCAGTGGGATAACCACTTTACAATTATACTTTTTTTTTGGGGGGGGGGGGGGGGGGGGGGGGGGTAGAAGGATTACTTTATCCTATCCCAGGTGTTCCTTAAAGAGGTGGGGTTTCAAATGTCTCCGGAAGGTGGTGAGTGACTCCGCTGTCCTGGCGTCGTGAGGGAGCTTGTTCCACCATTGGGGTGCCAGAGCAGCGAACAGCTTTGACTGGGCTGAGCGGGAACTATGCTTCCGCAGAGGAAGGGGAGCCAGCAGGCCAGAGGTGGATGAACGCAATGCCCTCGCCTGGGTGTAGGGACTGATCAGAGCCTGAAGGTACGGAGGTGCCGTTCCCCTCACTGCTCCATAGGCAAGCACCATGGTCTTGTAACGGATGCGAGCTTCAACTGGAAGCCAGTGGAGTGTGCGGAGGAGGGGGGTGACGTGAGAGAACTTGGGAAGGTTGAACACCAGACGGGCTGCGGCATTCTGGATGAGTTGTAGGGGTTTAATGGCACAGGCAGGGAGCCCAGCCAACAGCGAGTTGCAGTAATCCAGACGGGAGATGACAAGTGCCTGGATTAGGACCTGTGCCGCTTCCTGTGTAAGGCAGGGTCGTACTCTCCGAATGTTGTAGAGCATGAACCTGCAGGATCGGGTCACCGCCTTGATGTTGGCGGAGAACGACAGGGTGTTGTCCAGGGTCACGCCAAGGCTCTTCGCACTCTGGGAGGAGGACACAACGGAGTTGTCAACCGTGATGGCGAGATCATGGAACGGGCAGTCCTTCCCCGGGAGGAAGAGCAGCTCCGTCTTGCCAGGGTTCAGCTTGAGGTGGTGATCCGTCATCCATACTGATATGTCGGCCAGACATGCAGAGATGCGATTCGCCACCTGGTTATCAGAAGGGGGAAAGGAGAAGATTAGTTGTGTATCGTCAGCGTAGCAATGATAGGAGAGGCCATGTGAGGATATGACAGAGCCAAGTGACTTGGTGTATAGGGAGAAAAGGAGAGGGCCTAGAACTGAGCCCTGGGGGACACCAGTGGTGAGAGCACGTGGTGCGGAGACAGCTTCTCGCCACGCCACTTGGTAGGAGCGACCGGTCAGATAGGACGCAATCCAGGAGTGAGCCGCGCCGGAGATGCCCAGCTCGGAGAGGGTGGAGAGGAGGATCTGATGGTTCACTGTATCAAAGGCAGCAGACAGGTCTAGAAGGACAAGAGCAGAGGAGAGAGAGCCTCCGTGACACAGAGAAGAGCAGTCTCAGTTGAATGACCAGTCCTGAAACCTGACTGGTTTGGATCAAGAAGGTCATTCTGAGAGAGATAGCAAGAGAGTTGGCTAAAGACGGCACGCTCAATAGTTTTGGAAAGAAAAGAAAGAAGGGATACTGGTCTGTAGTTGTTGACATCAGTGGGATCGAGTGTTGGTTTTTTGAGAAGGGGTGCAACTCTCGCTCTCTTGAAGACGGAAGGGACATGGCCAGCGGTCAAGGATGAGTTGATCAGCGAGGTGAGGTAGGGGAGAAGGTCACCAGAGATGGTCTGGAGAAGAGAGGAGGGGATGGGGTCAAGCGGGCAGGTTGTTGGGCGGCCTGCAGTCACTAGTCACAAGATTTTATCTGGAGAGAGAGGGGAGAAAGAAGTCAAAGCATAGGGTAGGGCAGTGTGAGCAGGACCAGCAGTGTCATTAGACTTAACAAACGAGGATCGGATGTCGTCAACCTTCTTTTCAAAGTGGTTGACAAAGTCATCCACAGAGAGGGAGGAGGGGGGGAGGATTCAGCAGTGAGGAGAATGTGGCAAAGAGCTTCCTAGGGTTAGAGGCAGATGCTTGGAATTTAGAGTGGTAGAAAGTGGCCTTAGCAGCAGAAACAGATGAAGAAAATGTAGAGAGGAGGGAGTGAAAAGATGCCAGGTCGGCAGGGAGTTTAGTTTTCTTCCATTTCCGCTCAGCTGCCCGGAGCTCTGTTCTGTGAGCTCGCAATGAGTCATCAAGCCACAGAGCTGGAGGGGAGGACCGAGCCGGCCGGGAGGATAGGGGACACAGGGAGTCAAAGGATGCAGAAAGGGAGGAGAGGAGGGTTGAGGAGGCAGAATCAGGAGATTGGAGGGAGAAGGATTGAGCAGAGGGAAGAGATGATAGGATGGAAGAGGAGAGAGTAGTGGGAGAGAGAGAGCGAAGGTTGCGGCGGCGCATTACCATCTGTGTAGGGGCAGAGTGAGTAGTGTTGGAGGAGAGCGAGAGAGAAAAGGATACAAAGTAGTGGTCGGAGACATGGAGGGGAGTTGCAGTGAGATTAGTAGAAGAGCAACATCTAGTAAAGATGAAGTCAAGCGTATTGCCTGCCTTGTGAGTGGGGGGGGGATGGTGAGAGGGTGAGGTCAAAAGAGGAGAGGAGTGGAAAGAAGGAGGCAGAGAGAAATGAGTCAAATGTAGACGCGGGGAGGTTGAAATCCCCCAAAACTGTGAAGGGTGAGCCATCCTCAGGAAAGGAACTTATCAAGGCGTCAAGCTCATTGATGAACTCTCCAAGGGAACCTGGAGGGCGATAGATGACAAGGATATTAAGCTTAAATGGGCTAGTGACTGTGACAGCGTGGAATTCAAATGAGGAGATAGACAGATGGGTTAGGGGAAAAATTGAGAATGACCACTTGGGAGAGATGAGGATTCCTGTGCCACCACCCCTCTGACCAGATGCTCTCGGGGTATGCGAGAACACATGGTCAGACGAGGAGAGAGCAGTAGGAGTAGCAGTGTTTTCAGTGGTAATCCATGTTTCCGTCAGTGCCAGGAAGTCGAGGGACTGGAGGGTAGCATAGGCTGGGATGAAGTCAGCCTTGTTGGCGGCAGAACGGCAGTTCCAGAGGCTGCCTGAGACCTGGAACTCCAGGTGTGTGGTGCGTGCAGGGACCACCAGGTTAGAGAGGCAGCAGCCACGCGGTGTGAGGCGTTTGTGTAGCCTGTGCGGAGAGGAGAGAACAGGGATAGGCAGAGGCATAGTTGACAGGCTGCAGCAGATGGCTACAATAATGCAGAGGAGATCGGGATGAAATGAACTAAACATCAGGGAAAGGAGAGAGCAGGCCTCCCTCACCAAAAAAAAAATATATATATATATAACTCTCCCAACTTCCACCTCAGAAACTATAAGTGTTTCACTGAACCACCCGAGTAAAACTCTCCCAACTTCCACTTTAGAAATTAGAATTGTTGTAAACTACAGCAGACTGTTATCAGTAGCTGTAATTAAGTACAGCAGCTACCAACCACCTAACGTTAATGCCTCGGATGAGGTTAGAAAAACAGCTGAATGGTAGCAGCTAGCTGGCTCAATCACAGGTACTCTTAAGCATGAAATAACATTGGAAACAATTAACCACAGTTGCAAAAAGTTACCAGTAGCTACCCGCTAGCTAGCTAGCTAGCTAGCTTTGTTGGTCCAAGTAGTGGGTAGGCTAGCCTCGTGCTTCGCCGGAGTCCGCCGAATACAGTCCTTACCTACAATAATTACCTACAATAACCTTCAATAACTACCTGAGTAAGCTACCTATAATACCAAACTACAATACCTACCTACAATCTAAATACATGGTTTAAGCTTAACTCAACACCATATAAGAAGCCGAGCTTACCTTTCATAACGCAGCAATGATTAAACGTTGGGTAGCTAGCACAAAGATATTGTATTTAGCTACCACAGTACAGCCTGCTGGTAGTGTTGGCTGGCTAGCAATGGCTACTGTGTTGACTTTGTTTGAAAAACGGCGTCGCTGCGAACGAATGTAGCTGGCTAAAAGGATATTGTTTTAGTTGCTACCGTTGCTAATAGCTACTCGCCAGCTAATCCAGGAGGTGAGTTAGCTAGCTAGCTTCGTGCTACATCCGGCACCGCCGAATACAAAAGTAACCTACAATAACTACACAACAGCTACCCACAACAGCCCACGATGCCTACCTATACTACTTAATAATATACAGCCCACGATGCCTACCTATAGTACCTAACTACAATCTAAATACATAGTTTAAGCCTTACTCGACAAAGCCCAAGCTATGTATAAAGCCAAACTGGCAGACTGCAATCAGTAGCCGAAATTAAGTACAGCAGCTACCAACCACCTAACGTTAATGATAATGAGGTTAGAAAAACAGCTGAAGGTGGCAGCTAGCTGGCTCAATTACAGGTACTCTTAAGCGTGAAATAACATTGGAAACAGCTAACCACAGTTGCTAAAAGTTACTGGTAGCTACCCGCTAGCTAGCTAGCTTTGTTGGTCCAAGTAGTGGGTAGGCTAGCCTCGTGCTTCGCCGGGGTCCGCCGAATACAGTCCTTACCTACAATAACCTACAATAACTACCTGAGTAAACTACCTATAATACCTAACTACAATACCTACCTACAATCTAAATACATGGTTTAAGCTTTACTCAACACCATACAGTGGGGAAAAAAAGTATTTAGTCAGCCACCAATTGTGCAAGTTCTCCCACTTAAAAAGATGAGAGAGGCCTGTAATTTTCATCATAGGTACACGTCAACAATGACAGACAAAATGAGGGAAAAAAATCCTGAAAATCACATTGTAGGATTTTTAATGAATTTATTTGCAAATTATGGTGGAAAATAAGTATTTGGTCAATAACAAAAGTTTCTCAATAATTTGTTATATACCCTTTGTTGGCAATGACACAGGTCAAACGTTTTCTGTAAGTCTTCACAAGGTTTTCACACACTGTTGCTGGTATTTTGGCCCATTCCTCCATGCAGATCTCCTCTAGAGCAGTGATGTTTTGGGGCTGTCGCTGGGCAACACGGACTTTCAACTCCCTCCAAAGATTTTCTATGGGGTTGAGATCTGGAGACTGGCTAGGCCACTCCAGGATCTTGAAATGCTTCTTACGAAGCCACTCCTTCGTTGCCTGGGCGGTGTGTTTGGGATCATTGTCATGCTGAAAGACCAAGCCACGTTTCATCTTCAATGCCCTTGCTGATGGAAGGAGGTTTTCACTCAAAATCTCACGATACATGGCCCCATTCATTCTTTCCTTTACACGGATCAGTCGTCCTGGTCCCTTTGCAGAAAAACAGCCCCAAAGCATGATGTTTCCACCCCCATGCTTCACAGTAGGTATGGTGTTCTTTGGATGCAACTCAGCATTCTTTGGGAGGAGAACACGACGAGTTGAGTTTTTACCAAAAAGTTATATTTTGGTTTCATCTGACCATATGACATTCTCCCAATCCTCTTCTGGATCATCCAAATGCACTCTAGCAAACTTCAGACGGGCCTGGACATGTACTGGCTTAAGCAGGGGGACATGTCTGGCACTACAGGATTTGAGTCCCTGGCGGCGTAGTGTGTTACTGATGGTAGGCTTTGTTACTTTGGTCCCAGCTCTCTGCAGGTCATTCACTAGGTCCCCCCGTGTGGTTCTGGGATTTTTGCTCACCGTTCTTGTGATCATTTTGCCCCACGGGTTGAGATCTTGCGTGGAGCCCCAGATCGAGGGAGATTATCAGTGGCCTTGTATGTCTTCCATTTCCTAATAATTGCTCCCACAGTTGATTTCTTCAAACCAAGCTGCTTACCTATTGCAGATTCAGTCTTCCCAGCCTGGTGCAGGTCTACAATTTTGTTTCTGGTGTCCTTTGACAGCTCTTTGGTCTTGGCCATAGTGGAGTTTGGAGTGTGACTGTTTGAGGTTGTGGACAGGTGTCTTTTATACTGATAACAAGTTCATACAGGTGCCATTAATACAGGTAACGAGTGGAGGACAGAGGAGCCTCTTAAAGAAGAAGTTACAGGTCAGTGAGAGCCAGAAATCTTGCTTGTTTGTAGGTGACCAAATACTTATTTTCCACCATAATTTGCAAATAAATTCATTAAAAATCCTACAATGTGATTTTCTGGATTTTTTTTTCTGAATTTGTCTGTCATAGTTGACGTGTACCTATGATGAAAATTACAGGCCTCTCTCATCTTTTTAAGTGGGAGAACTTGCACAATTGGTGGCTGACTAAATACTTTTTTTCCCCACTGTATAAGAAGCCAAGCTTACCTCCTGCTAGAGAAAACACAACCTCTCCCGTCAGCATCCCCCACACGACTGTATACATTGTATAATAATAGTGAAGACATCAAAACTATGAAATAACACACATGGAATCATGTAGTAACCAAAAAAGTGTTGAACAAATCAAAATATATTTTATTTGAGATTCTTCAAAGTAGCCACCCTTTGCCTTGATGACAGCTTTGCACACTCTTGGCATTCTCTCAACCAGATTCATGAGGTAGTCACCTGGAATGCATTTCAATTAACAGGTGTGCCTTGTTAATTTGTGCAATTTCTTTCCTTCTTAATGTGTTTGAGCCAATCAGTTGTGTTGTGACAAGGTAGGGGGGGTATACAGAAGATAGCCCTATTTGGTAAAAGACCAAGTCCATATTATGGCAAGAACAGCTCAAATAATCAAAGAGAAATTACAGTCCATCATTACTTTAAGACATGAAAGTCAGTACATCCGGAAAATGTGAAGAACTTTTAAAGTTTCTTCAAGTGCAGTCACAAAAATCATCAAGCGCTATGATGAAACTGGATCTCATGAGGACCGCCACAAGAAAGGAAGACGCAGAGTTACCTCTGCTGCAGAGGATAACTTCATTAGAGTTACCAGCCTCAGAAATTGCAGCCCAAATAAGTCCTTCAGAGTTCAAGTAACCGACACATCTCAACATCAACTGTTCAGAGGAGACTGCGTGAATCAGGCTTTCATGGTCGAATTGCTGCAAAGGAACCACTACTAAAGGACACCAATAAGAAGAACAGACTTGCTTGGGCCAAGAAACACGAGCAATGGACATTAGACCGGTGGAAATCTGTCCTTTGCTTACTACATGATTCCATATGTGTTATTTCATAGTTTTGATGTCTTCACTATTATTCTACAATATACAGTGAGGGGAAAAAAGTATTTGATCCCCTGCTGATTTTGTATGTTTGCCCACTGACAAAGACATGATCAGTCTATAATTTTTATGATAGGTTTATTTGAAAAGTGAGAGACAGAATAACAACAAAAGAATCCAGAAAAACGCATGTCAAAAATGTTATAAATTGATTTGCATTTTAATGAGAGAAATAAGTATTTGACCCCTCTGCAAAACATGACTAAGTACTTGGTGGCAAAACCCTTGTTGGAAATCACAGAGGTCAGACGTTTCTTGTAGTTGGCCACCAGGTTTGCACACATCTCAGGAGGGATTTTGTTCCACTCCTCTTTGCAGATCTTCTCCAAGTCATTAAGGTTTCGAGGCTGACGTTTGGCAACTCGAACCTTCAGCTCCCTCCACAGATTTTCTATGGGATTATGGTCTGGAGACTGGCTAGGCCACTCCAGGACCTTAATGTGCTTCTTCTTGAGCCACTCCTTTGTTGCCTTGGCCGTGTGTTTTGGGTCATTGTAATGCTGGAATACCCATCCACGACCCATTTTCAATGCCCTGGCTGAGGGAAGGAGGTTCTCACCCAAGATTTGACGGTACATGGCCCCGTCCATCGTCCCTTTGATGCGGTGAAGTTGTCCTGTCCCCTTAGCAGAAAAACACCCCCAAAGCATAATGTTTCCACCTCCATGTTTGACGGTGGGGATGGTGTTCTTGGGGTCATAGGCAGCATTCCTCCTCCTCCAAACACGGCGAGTTGAGTTGATGCCAAAGAGCTCAATTTTGGTCTCATCTGACCACAACACTTTCACCCAGTTCTTCTCTGAATCATTCAGATGTTCACTGGCAAACTTCAGACAGGCCTGTATATGTGCTTTCTTGAGCAGGGGGACCTTGCGGGCGCTGCAGGATTTCAGTCCTTCACGGCGTAGTGTGTTACCAATTGTTTTCTTGGTGACTATGGTCCCAGCTGCCTTGAGATCATTGACAAGATCCTTCTGTGTAGTTCTGGGATGATTCCTCACCGTTCTCATGATCATTGCAACTCCACGAGGTGAGATCTTGCATGGAGCCCCAGGCCGAGGGAGATTGACAGTTCTTTTGTGTTTCTTCCATTTTCGAATAATCGCACCAACTGTTGTCACCTTCTCACCAAGCTGCTTGGCGATGGTCTTGTAGCCCATTCCAGCCTTGTGTAGGTCTACAATCTTGTCCCTGACATCCTTGGAGAGCTCTTTGGTCTTGGCCATGGTGGAGAGTTTGGAATCTGATTGATTGATTGCTTCTGTGGACAGGTGTCTTTTATACAGGTAAAAAACTGAGATTAGGAGAACTCCCTTTAAGAGTGTGCTCCTAATCTCAGCTCGTTACCTGTATAAAAGACACCTGGGCGCCAGAAATCTTTCTGATTGAGAGGGGGTCAAATACTTATTTCACTCATTAAAATGCAAATCAATTTATAACATTTTTGACATGCGTTTTTCTGGATTTTGTTCTTGTTATTCTGTCTATCACTGTTCAAATAAACCTACCATTAAAATTATAGACTGATCATTTCTTTGTCAGTGGGCAAACGTACAAAGTCAGCAGGGGATCAAATACTTTTTTCCCTCACTGTAGAAAATAGTACAAATAAAGAAAAACCCTTGAATGAGTAGGCGTGTCCAAACTTTTGACTGGTACTGTACATATGAGATGAGTAATGCAAGATATGTAAACATTATTAAAGCCGCCTTCTGGATGATAGCGGGGTGAACAGGCAGTGGCTCGGGTGGTTGATGTCCTTGATGATCTTTTTGGCCTTCCTGTGACATCGGGTGCTGTAGGTGTGTCCTGGAGGGCGGGTAGTTTGCCCCTGGTAATGCGTTGGGCGGACTGCACCACCCTCTGGAGAGCCCTGCGGTTGCGGGCGGTGCAGTTGCCGTACCAGGCGGGGATACAGCCCGACAGGATGCTCTCAATTGTGCCTCTGTAAAAGTTTGTGAGGGCTTTAGGTGCCAAGCCAAATTTATTCAGCCTCCTGAGGTTGAAGAGGCTCTGTTGCGCCTTCTTCATCACACTGTCTGTGTGGGTGGACAATTTCAGTTTGTCAGTGATGTGTACGCCAAGGAACCTGCATTGATACCTGTAATCACAATCACATCTCAGTAAGTGTGTCTGTGCATAGGGAGGATGACGACTCCAAGTCCAGACTGCCTGTTCCTGGCAGTGTGCTGGACATGTTCACAGAGGAAGATGAGGACCCACCAACTGAAGACAGCATGCAACATGGTGGACGGATTCGTTCCTTCAAACACGAGAGAGGAAACTGGGCCACTTACGTGTTCTTTCCATGTAAATGCCTTATCTTCAGAGATGCATACACTAATATACACAATGTTTATGTGTTGAAGGATTGCTTGCTGTCGGTTGTAACATCCCCAGCTTCTTCTTATTTCCCTCAGACATCCCAGAGGATGGGTTCTTGGAGCTGCTTGATGAGATGACTGAAGTAGCAGCTTCCCATAGCTTCTCCCTCACTCGTACAGATGAGTTTCACCTCAGTTTATCTAAGACAGTGGTTCTGAGGCATCACTGGATCCAGCCTTTCATACAGTCCCTCAGAACAGGCTTGGCACATGGCAGGAGGTCTGCAATTTTTCTCAGTATACCCAACTATTATGTTTTGTCCCTTTGTTTATGTGGAAGGGGTGTTACGATTCTCCATTGTTATATTTTGGTTAGAGGATGCATGTCACCAGAAGTAATCAGGCAGGAAACAAATACTATGCTAAATAGTCTGGATGAGGTAAAATTATTGTGATCTTGTTTATAGGTTCATTTGTTTGGCTGAGAAGCTGAAGGTCTACTCTAATGATGAGAAAACCAGGTACAGTAAGATCTCTTATCACGATCATTGACAGCATGAGTGAGGACGTGCATTCTAAAGCAGTTAGACGTATGGTTTCTTTTGCAGCTAGTCTTACGGTCTAGTCTTCTGCTCTCCCCAACAGGACGTTCCTGGCTGTGGAAGTCTCCACAGGACAGGCTCAGCTACTAGAGCTTATGAAAGCAGTGGACAGCACTATGGAGGAGTTCAACCTTGACACTTTTTACAAGGTCTGAACACAAAACAATTTAGCGTATTACAAATACACTATCAATTTCCAACCCATCACTGTTCTATCTCTCACCAAATTCTTCGGACATCTCTCAAACATCTGTTATAACCCTCTCCTTTGTTAGGTGCATTGATCTAGGATTTGGTCGCTGCGGAGCATGTTTCAGACACTAGTGGCACTGTTGAGCAAGGAATTGATAAACAAATATACAGTATTGTATAAGATCAAGAGTGAATACTGAACTTTCACTTTTCTTCTAGAATCCTTCCTTCCATATAAGTCTGGCCTGGTGTGTTGGTGACTGCACTGAACACTTTCGCAAAGAGTGTCTGCAGGAGTTGCAGGTATGACCTGTTCTTATATGTTTATTCTGTCCATGTATCTGTTTAATTTGGTAATATCATCTATTAATATCATCTGTGGCTGTGAAACCCATCACAGAAAGCTGTTTCCTCCACCTGTGGCTTTGTGAGGACTTGATAGATGCAAGCCATAGGCTAACTTCATCTAGTTTCTGCCATGTTGATCTCATCAGCTATCTAATCCAATCAGGGGAATGAAACAGCCCCAGTGACTCACTGAGCCTAAAGGCTGCATTCAGTACGAAAAAACGTAATGCAACATTCAATTAAACGGTGCTGTGCTGTTCTGAACGACCATTTGAAAAACAGAGGGGTTGGGTTGTGGGTTCAAAATACACCACTGCCCTTTAAATACATCACTCATTGCTTCAAGCCACACCCCGCCACCAAACGGAGCAAACGTACCTCAGCATCTGTTTAAGAATGTTGAACGTTCAGTACAAGCTGTTACGTCACGTAGCAAACGTTCAATTTAACTGAATGCACCCCTTGTGTGTTCTCTCTTCCATCAGGGTCTGGTTGACTCCCATGAGGATGGACCCTTCCTCTTGAGACTGGACTGTCAAGAGCTGCGATGTAAGTCTGGGAACAAGACCTTTTCCATTCCACTACACTGACAACGATGACGAAACCAGTTCTCATTCAGTCTGTGGTCAACTGTAATGTTAGGATACCTCAACAGCGAAACGTGACATCAATGTTCATAATGAGACAATCAATAAAAGTATCTATATTTTTGTAAAATGAGTGAGAGTTGTACCTCCTCTTGAAAGGTTATTCGATTCAATCTAGAAAACGGCAGTGGTGCGATATTTATCAAGCAACTTCCTTTGAAGATTGCACACATCTTCATGTGTGAGGCTTGTTTTGATAAAACACTTATGTATTCAATCATTGCTGCTACAGTTACTGTATGACACAAGACATCACTGACCCTAGACCTGAGAATAAGAGTATTTAAAATTCTTAAATCTTATTGACCAAGTTAAAGGCAACATGTGACCTATAAAACGGTAGTTGTCAACTAAAACTTTAATCTGTTCCATTAATCTTCACAGCCCTTAATCCATTCTTTAAAAAGAGCTTGACTTGATGTGAACTAGTAGGATAGACCCATTAACCTTTTTATATTTAAGAGGTACAATAGGATAGAATAATCCTAACATTACAATCCAGACGATAAGACGCGATGAGTTCAGAAACCCTTATTAAGTGTTGCATGTTCATATGGTAGATCCTGTTTGATCCGTGAAAGTAGATGTGTTAAGACCTCAGAGGGGAAGAGGTAGTCTGTTTTTGCCAGACTAGGCGCTCTGCAGGCACGCTCCTCAGCGGATGTGAGAAGAGACTAGGGTAGAGGAACCTATGATGAGGCTGATATTGAAACAGAGTTGAAGTGTCACCCCTTCTTACTTTAATAACAAAGCACTCACACAGAAGGCCGGCTTAAAGCAATGTTTAACATTACATTTTACTTAATCGTCACAAGGCAGCACAACACACAGATCATGATAGTTCCAGCAATATATTGTTCAAGCCCAACCATAGCGCAATGACATACAGTGGGGGAAAAAAGTATTTAGTCAGCCACCAATTGTGCAAGTTCTCCCACTTAAAAAGATGAGAGGCCTGTAATTTTAATCATAGGTACACGTCAAATATGACAGACAAAATGAGAAAAAAAATCCAGAAAATCACATTGTAGGATTTTTAATGAATTTATTTGCAAATTATGGTGGAAAATAAGTATTTGGTCAATAACAAAAGTTTCTCAATACTTTGTTATATACCCTTTGTTGGCAATGACACAGGTCAAACGTTTTCTGTAAGTCTTCACAAGGTTTTCACACACTGTTGCTGGTATTTTAGCCCATTCCTCCATGCAGATCTCCTCTAGAGCAGTGATGTGTTGGGGCTATCGCTGGGCAACACGGACTTTCAGCTCCCTCCAAATATTTTCTATGGGGTTGAGATCTGGAGACTGGCTAGGCCACTCCAGGACCTTGAAATGCTTCTTACGAAGCCACTCCTTCGTTGCCCGGGCGGTGTGTTTGGGATCATTGTCATGCTGAAAGACCCAGCCACATTTCATCTTCAATGCCCTTGCTGATGGAAGGAGGTTTTCACTCAAAATCTCACGATACATGGCCCCATTCATTCTTTCCTTTACACGGATCAGTCGTCCTGGTCCCTTTGCAGAAAAACAGCCCCAAAGCATGATGTTTCCACCCCCATGCTTCACAGTAGGTATGGTGTTCTTTGGATGCAACTCAGCATTCTTTGTCCTCCAAACACGACGAGTTGAGTTTTTACCAAAAAGTTATATTTTGGTTTCATCTGACCATATGACATTCTCCCAATCCTCTTCTGGATCATCCAAATGCACACTAGCAAACTTCAGACGGGCCTGGACATGTACTGGCTTAAGCAGGGGGACACGTCTGGGACTGCAGGATTTGAGTCCCTGGCGGCGTAGTGTGTTACTGATGGTAGGCTTTGTTACTTTGGTCCCAGCTCTCTGCAGGTCATTCACTAGGTCCCCCCGTGTGGTTCTGGGATTTTTGCTCACCGTTCTTGTGATCATTTTGACCCCACGGGGTGAGATCTTGTGTGGAGCCCCAGATCGAGGGAGATTATCAGTGGTCTTGTATGTCTTCCATTTCCTAATAATTGCTCCCACAGTTGATTTCTTCAAACCAAGCTGCTTACCTATTGCAGATTCAGTCTTCCCAGCCTGGTACAGGTCTAGAATTTTGTTTCTGGTGTCCTTTGACAGCTCTTTGGTCTTGGCCATAGTGGAGTTTGGAGTGTGACTGTTTGAGGTTGTGGACAGGTGTCTTTTATACTGATAACAAGTTCAAACAGGTGCCATTAATACAGGTAACGAGTGGAGGACAGAGGAGCCTCTTAAAGAAGAAGTTACAGGTCTGTGAGAGCCAGAAATCTTGCTTGTTTGTAGGTGACCAAATACTTATTTTCCACCATAATTTGCAAATAAATTCATTAAAAATCCTACAATGTGATTTTCTGGATTTTTTCTTCTCAATTTGTCTGTCATAGTTGACGTGTACCTATGATGAAAATTACAGGCCTCTCTCATCTTTTTAAGTGGGAGAACTTGCACAATTGGTGGCTGACTAAATACTTTTTTTCCCCACTGTAGTTACAATCAAGCTGATCAGACGGCATCTCCCTGTGCTGTAAACAATCTAGCCTCCACAAAAAGCCCCTGATGTTCTTAATTCATCACAGCTCAATATTGGACATACTGCTAATTCTGAGGATCACATAGTAAATCTTTTTTGGTTCAGCACAACAGGAAACAACCTGGTAATCTTGAGTCTTAAGTGGGAAAGTCCTTTCCAAATATGATCAATTAACATAGTAAAATTTTGATCGACATTAAGGGGAACAAACAGCAATCGTCTGCTGAGGGGATAATTCATAATAAAATAGGATAAAACATTTTACTGCCGCCATCACTTCCTCCTCAGGCTCAGACCGTCATGTGTCCAAAAGCCTATCAGTTGTCTTCTCTCTGTACTATCCCAGTTCTTCATCTTTGTGAATTTGTCACATCAGACAGCAAGCTGAGGGGCAGTAGTTAGTTGAGGTCGCTCAGGGGCCAAAGAGCACGGTCTTGATGTAGGTTACTGTGGTAAAGTTGAGCAACATGGCCACATGCTCATTCCCCTCCAGTTCAAGCATATGGACAGGCTGAGTCTGGTGGCCTATCCAACGCTTGCACTGGGTGGCACTCAGCAGGTTGACCGTACCATCCCCATCTCCGAGAATCAGTGTGGGGTCTGTATCAGGAAAGTTGGTGTAGAGAAAACCCTCCGCTGTGGGCACTCTGCTGCCATACAGACAGTGTATGGCCACCCTGGGGGGCTCTAGTGCACTGACCAGTGGTTCAGTGTCTTGACGCATCTCCCAGCCGTCTTCAAAGTCGATATCCTTGAAGAAGTGTTGGTAGTCTTTCACTGTGTAGTTGGTGGTGGGTGTTTGGATTAGCACCTTGTCAGCAGGCCAGGAATGTGAGTATGGGAACAGCCATGTGGTTGAGACTGCAGAGCGCTGTTGTGAGCGGATCTTTAGTGAACTGATGACTGGGATACGGTTATTATCACCTGCAAGGAAAGAGACATAAACCAATGCAATAGTGTAGATATAATAAAATACATGGTTGCTAGACATTACAAATAGTATGCAGCCCACAGTAACTCTACTACTGTGGTTCAGACATGCCTATGCAAACTCTTACCAGTAGCCACAACTCTCAGGGTTTTAGCCACACCAGCCCAAGGTGCACCCAGGGACACAAAGGACTTGATGTAGCGATCCTTCCAGGCCTGGGGCTGATGGTTCAGGAAATACAGGGTGTACATGTTCCCCATGCTGTGGGCCATCAGGACAACCGGACCCCCAGCCTTCTCTGCCATCTCCTCAATCATCTGTTGCAGACTCATGAAGTAGGCTTTGTTCTCATCTGTTAAAATCATATAAAAAAAAGGGGGGGGGGTGCGTGCGTGCGTGCATGAGACTGATCATTCAAAAACTACTGAGATTAGTATAACAATACTTTATATATACACTGAACAAAAATATAAACGCAACATGTAAAGTGTTGGTTCCATGTTTCATGAGCTGAAATAAAAGATCACAGACATTTTCCATACGCACAAAAAGCTTATTTCTCTCAGATTTTGTGCACAAATTTGTTTACATCCCTGTTAGTGAGCATTTCTCCTTTGCCAAGATAATCCATCCACCTGACAGGTGTGGCATATCAAGAAACTGATTAAACAGCATGATCATTACACAGGTGCACCTTCTGCTGGGGACAATAAAAGGCCACTCTAAAATGTGCAGTTATGTCACAACACAATGCCACAGATGTCTCATGTTGAGGGAGCGTGCAATTGGCATGATGACTGCAGGAATGTCCACCAGAGCTGTTGCCAGAGAATTGAATACAGGCCTATGGCCTCCCAGGCCCACCCATGGCTGCGCCCCTGCCAAGTCATGTGAAATCCATAGATTAGAGCCTATTGAATTGATTTCAAATGACTGATTTCCTTATGAACTGTAACTCAGTAAAATCGTTAATTGTTGCATTTATATTTTTGTTCAGTATATATCCAATACATCTAAAAGGTCTTAATCAACACCCATCTTTCCTTTTCCTCTTAAATGTCGCTCATAATTGCAATGACTGGACCGAAATTAGGTAAGAATAGAAGGCTAAAAACAACCTGACAATGAAAACTATTAACCTATAGTCGATGTCCGTGCCCCCGCGGAAATGTAATTAGCGTTTTTTTTTTATCCCAGTAAAAAAATGTCTGTTTTAAGCTACAGATGTCGACCTTCCACATCTGCGGTGGAAGGTGGCAGAGCTACAGCGGTGTTTGTCAGACCAGGTGACATCCCGAAAATCGGTCTTCTCATGAAAACGTCTGTAGTGTCCGAACAGTTTGGGATACAAATTAATATGACCCCTTTATGGCAAGATGACTCACGAACACAATTGTTCTCCGTTTTGCTCTACGACCCCCACAAGTACTGTTATGTACCAGGCTAAAACATTTTTATGGAAGTTAATTTATTAAATTTTATTTCACCTTTATTTAACCAGGTAGGCCAGTTGAGAACAAGTTCTCATTTACAACTGTGACCTGGAATAGGGCATTTCCACATCAAAGGTACGGGTAATTTCATGTTCCCAAATATATATACATGTATATATTTTATAATGTTTCATATATCCCACATATAGGCCAGAAACGTCAAAACATACTTCCTTTTGATAATTTTTTTACTGTTTTTCAATGTATGAATTTGTTATTTAATGTGTTTCTATGGGCTAATAGCCGTAAGGCCAAATACAATGTTTCATCAAATAAATAAAAATAAGAATATACAGTGCATTCGGAAAGTATTCAGACCTTTTTCCACATTTTGTTACGTTACAGCCTTATTCTAAAATGGATTAAATAGTTTTTTCCCCTCATCAATCTACACACAATACCCCATAATGACAAAGCAAAAACAGGTTTAGACTTTTGCTAATTTATTAAAAATAGTAAACTGAAATATCACATTTACATAAGTATTCAGACCCTTTACTCAGTACTTTGTTGAAGCACCTTTGGCAGCAATTACAGCCTTGAGACTTCTTGGGTATGACGCTACAAGTTTGGCACACCTGTATTTGGGGAGTTTCTCCCATTCTTCTCTGCAGATCCTCTCAAGCTCTGTCAGGTTGAATGGGGAGCGTTGCTGCACAGCTATTTTCAGGTTTTTTCAGAGATGTTCGATCAGGTTCAAGTTCGGGCTCTGGCTGGGCCACTCAAGGACATTGAGACTTGTCCCGAAGCCACTCCTGCGTTGTCTTGGCTGTGTGCTTAGGGTCGTTGTCCTGTTGAAGGTGAACCTTCACCCCAGTCTGAGGTCCTGAGCGCTCTGGAGCAGGTTTGCTTTAAGGATCTCTCTGTACTTTGCTCCGTTCATCTTTGCCGCGATCCTGACTAGTCTCCCAGTCCCTGCCGCTGAAAAACATCCCCACAGCATGTTGCCACCACCATGCTTCACCGTAGGGATGGTGCCAGGTTTACTCCAGACGTGACGCTTGGCATTCAGGCCAAAGAGTTCAATCTTGGTTTCATTAGACCAGAGAATCTTGTTTCTCATGGTCTGATAGTCATTTGGCAAACTCCAAGCGGGCTGTCATGTGCCTTTTACTGAGGAGCGGCTTCCGTCTGGCCACTCTACCATAAAGGTTTGATTTGTGGAGTGCTGCAGAGATGGTTGTCCTTCTGTAAGGTTCTCCCATCTCCACAGAGGAACTCTGGAGCTAATGGCACTGCCTACTCCAGACGACTCTTTTTTAAAATCATATGTTCAAAAAATATTTCATTTTATTTGGAATGCTAAGCCAGACAAAATTAAACGTGCCTATTTATATAATGAATATGAGTTTGGGGGACTTCAATTATTATTAAATATTAAAGCTTTAAACCTCTCACTAAAAGCTTCACTCATACATAAGTTATACTTAAACCCAAAATGGTTCTCCAGTGGATTATTAAGAAAGGCTCAAATGGCCTTCTTGCCTTTTATACAGATTACAACTTCTCATTTCCGTCAAATTGAAAATGAAATATTGTTTAAAGTATTGCCCTTTCTTAAACAAGCCATACAAAGCTGGTTACAATTTCAGTTTTATCCTCCAGAAAAGATAGAACAAATATTACAACAAATGTTATGGTTAAACTCAAATATACTGATTAATAAAAAAAACATTCTTCATGGAAAAAATGTTTAAAATTGGTATTATATTTATTAATTATATTATGAATAGAAACGGTGGAGCTATGTCACATACGCAGCTATCGAAAAATACATGGGAATGTCTGCTCAATCCAAACTTACAACCAACTGATTGCAGCATTACCACAAATGGAGGAGGCAAGTGGAAAAGGGAGAAGGTAGGGAACTTGTTTGCCTTCCATACAGTCGTGGTCAAAAGTTGAGAATGACACAAATACAAATTTTCACAAAGTCTGCTGCCTCAGTTTTGATGATGGCAATATTCATATACTCCAGAATGTCATGAAGAGTGATCAGATGAATTGCAATTAATTGCAAAGTCCCTCTTTGCTATGAAAATGAACTTATTCCCCAAAAAAACATTTCCACTGCATTTCAGCCCTGCCACAAAAGGACCAGCTGCCATCATGTCAGTGATTCTCTCGTTAACACAGGTGAGAGTGTTGACAAGGACAAGGCTGGAGATCACTCTGTCATGCTGATTGAGTGAGAATAACAGACTGGAAGCTTTAAAAGGAGGGTGGTGCCTGAAATCATTGTTCTTCCTCTGTTAACCATGGTTACCTGCAAGGAAACGCGTGCCGTCATCATTGCTTTGCACAAAAAGGGCTTTGCAGGCAAGGATATTGCTGCTAGTAAGATTGCACCTAAATCAACCATTTATCGGATCATCAACAACTTCAAGGAGAGAGGTTCAATTGTTTTGAAGAAGGCGTCAGTTTCATTTGAGGACAAAAATGTTGACAGCTGCGCCATACAGGTTGCAAAATAAATGGGAAAAGATTTGATGTTAAAATGTATGTTTCAAGTTCACATTTTTGTCATTTAGCAGACGCTCTTATCCAGAGCGACATACAGTTAGTGAGTGCATACATTTTCATACTGGCCCCCCGTGGGAATCGAACCCACAACCCTGGCATTGCAAACGCCATGCTCTACCAACTGAGCTACACGGGACCTGTTAAACTGTAGTTTGTTTGTATGCTGTTTAGTGAATGATTACTGTGAGTATTAAAAGGAGTTTAGGCCATGAAACTGTGTGTATGCTAATTTGGAAAGGTTGACCTAATCAGATTAGAGGAAATTGCCTCGGATCAGGGAGCAGGGTCAGGCCCAGGACAATGAAGATGGACGGGTTGTGATTCTGACATGTAGGTAAACAAAGAGAGGACCATGGACATTCCATAGGGGAGAGAAGGGAAACTCATTAAGGTCATAAAATGTATAGCTGGGGTGGTGACCAAAAGGAGGGAAGAGTATAAGAGGTGTTGGGAACTTTCTAAATGTATGCACTCAGCTGACAGCATCCTTGGTATTAAACACTTGAAACTTCTCTTGAGATTTTGGTCTCAATTCCTTATTGCAAAGAGGTTGAAATAGCATTTTTCTTTTTAACACACTTAAATCAACCTTACAAATAGCAGTATTGGGCGATTTGGAAAGCTATAGTCAGTCAATAAATAATATAATAATACTCGTAGGAAAGGTTTTCATCTTTAGCTCACAATCTGTGGATACTATACGATTAGAAAGGTTCGACATTTATGTAAAACATCACAATTGAAAAATATATGGCACATGGAAACCAAACAAGGGTGGTCTATGGTGATAGGTGGGATGGGCTGAGAGTAGCTGAGGGGTGGGATTAAAGAGCTTATGTTTGGTAATGTATTATTGTTATGTGACTGCTTTATTTAAAAGTACCATGTATGTAAAATGTTTATGCAAAATCTATGTAAAATGTAAGGTATTTCTGTTTTTGTTTTTTTATAAATGTGCTAAAATGTCTAAAAATCTGTTTTCGCTTTATCTTTATGGGGTATTGTGTGTAGATTGCTGAGGATTTTTATTCATTTAATCAATTTTAGAATAAGGCTTTAACGTAACAAAATGTGGAAAAAGTCAACGGGTCTAAATACTCTCCGAAGGCACTGTGTGTGTGTATATACACACACACACACACACACACACACACACACACACACACAGTACCAGTCTAAAGTTTGGACACACCTACTCATTCAAGGGTTTTTCTTTATTTTTACTATTTTCTACATTGTAGAATAATAGTGAAGACATCAAAACTATGAAATAACACACATGGAATCATGTAGTAACCCAAAAAGTGTTCAATCAAAATATTTTAGATTCTTCAAAGTAGCCACCCTTTGCCTTGATGACAGCTTTGCACACTCTTGCTGAGCACTTGTTGGCTGCTTTTCCTTCACTCTGCGGTCCAACTCATCCCAGACCATCTCAATTGGGTTGAGGTCAGGTGATTGTGGAGGCCAGGTCATCTGATGCAGCACTCCATCACTCTCCTTGGTCAAATAGCCCTTACACAGCCTGGATGTGTGTTTTGGGTCATTGTCCTGTTGAAAAACAAATGATAGTCCCACTAAGCGCAAACCAGATGGGATGGCATATCGCTGCAGAATGCTGTGGTAGCCATGCTGGTTAAGTGTGCCTTGAATTCTAAATAAATCACTGACAGTGTCACCATCAAAGCACCCCCACACAATCACACCTCCTCATCCATGCTTCATGGTGAGAACCACACATGCGGAGATCATCCGTTCACCTACTCTGCGTCTCACAAAGACACAGTGGTTGGAACCAAAAATCTCAAATTTGGACTCCAGACCAAAGAACAAATTTCCACCGGTCTAATATCCATTGCTAGTGTTTCTTGGCCCAAGCAAGTCTCTTCTTCTTATTGGTGTCCTTTAGTAGTGGTTTATTTGCAGCAATTCGACCATGAAGGCCTGATTCATTTACATTTACATTTTACATTTTAGTCATTTAGCAGACGCTCTTATCCAGAGCGACTTACAGTTAGTGAATACAATTTTTTTTTTATACTGGCCCCCCATGGGAATCAAACCCACAACCCTGGCGTTGCAAACGCCATGCTCTATCAACTGAGCTACATTCCCTCCCCTACCCTGGACGACGCTGGGCCAATTGTGCGCCGCCCATGAGTCTCCCGGTCACGGCCGGCTGCGACAGAGCCTGGATTCGAACCAGGATCTCTAGTGGCACAGTTAGCACTGCGATGCAGTGCCTTAGACCACTGCGCCACTCAGGATTCACACAGTCTCCTCTGAACAGTTGATGTTGAGATGTGTCTGTTACTTGAACTCCGTGAAGCATTTATTTGGGCTGCAATCTGAGGTGCTGTTAATTGCTGATTTCTGAGGTGCAGTTAACTCTAATGAACTTATCCTCTGCACCAGAGGTAACTCTGGGTCTTCCTTTCCTGTGGCGGTCCTCATGAGAGCCAGTTTCATCATAGCGCTTGATGGTTTTTGCGACTGCACTTGAACAAACTTTCAAAGTTCTTTAATTTTCCTAATTGACTGACCTTGATGTCTTAAAGTAATGATGGACTGTCGTTTCTCTTTGCTTATTTGAGCTGTTCTTACCATACATAGGGCTATCTTCTGTATATCAACCCTACCTTGTCACAACACAACTGATTGGCTCAAACGCATTAAGAAGGAAAGAAATTCCACAAATTAACTTTTAACAAGGCACACCTGTTAATTGAAATGCATTCCAGGTAACTACCTCATGAAGCTGGTTGAGAGAATGCCAAGAGTGCGCAAAGCTGTCATCAAGGCAAAGGGTGGCTACTTTGAAGAATCTCAAATATAAAAAATATTTTGATTTGTTTAACACTTTTTTGGTTACTACATGAATCCATGTGTTATTTCATAGTTTTGATGTCTTCACTATTCATTATTCTACAATGTAGAAAATAGTACAAATAAAGAAAAACCCGGGAATGAGTAGGTGTGTCCAAACTTTTGACTGGTACTGTATATATTTTTTAAACCTACAGGGGTCCTATAATTCAAAATCAAATAGCTAAATGATCCTTGGTATGACCATCTTAAAACAATTCCATATGTTAGCTTAGTAGAAACCCAGCCCCGGGCCCTTAGACTCAAGGTCATGGGTATTTAACTCTTACCCTACAAGGTCCAGAGCCTGCTGGTTCTCTGTTCTACCTGATCATTAATTGCACCCACCTGTTGTCCCAGGTCTAAATGACTCCCTGATTAGAGGGGAAGAATGAAAAAAAGCAGTGGAACTGGCTTCAAGGTCCAGAGTTGAGTTTGAGGGGGGTGTCAATAACATTGCTAGCTCCTTACACAAGGACATGCAATCCATCCAAAGACCAAGCTCTGTTCATCAGACCACAAATGTTTCTTTGACAGACATGTATCTACAGCAAATGTGTGTGTAAGAATGAAAGGAGGCGGATTTACTTGGAGCTTTACGCCAGTCATACGGAGCTCCTCGAACATCGTCATCTCTCGTGTATCCCCACTCCACCAGCGCCTGCACTATGGTGAAAAAATACATACCTGCAACACAAACAATAGTAGCTTAGTTAAACACACACACAAGAAAAGACTGAGATACTCGCACACTATTAGGGAGTCTGTTGAATAGATACTTTAGGCATGGTAGGGTGATGGGCCCACTCACCAACACTGTAGTTGCTAGGGTCAAGGTATTCCAGAGGGAAGGTCTGTCCAAAGCCAGGCACTCTGACATCTACCCCCGGAGGTGCTTCTGTCTGCCTTGTTGTGCGGTTGTAAATCAGTCTAATGCACAGACAGAGACACATGCCAGAATATTAGAAAAGTTAAAGGTAGACTTAGCGATATGACGTAGATGCAGAAAATAAACAGCATAGTGGGTAAATTCCCACAACAACTAAGAGCGTTGAAGCGCGAGGCTCAACTTCTCTGCTGTTTTGGTCCATGCTAGCACACTTTAACAGCGTGAAGCAATCCCTTGCACAGGCACAGATACTGTGTGTGACTGTGAGAGCAAAGTGTTGCATCTCGGTGCTGCTCATGGCAAACTAATTTAGCTGAGTCTACCTTTAATTACAATGACATTACAGTATACAATATTAATTCATTAGTTGTTCCTGGAATAAAGCCACAGCTCAATGACATGTTGTAGTTATTTTGGTTAGAGACCCATCTGAAAACACCTGTTTGAATTAATTCCAGTATAATGTCTGCATTTCAAGAGGAACTAGGCCTAACTGGGGAGAAAAGAAAGACCCAACTGGTTGTACACTATGGCTTCACTGTTAAATAAACTATACACTCTGAGAGACAGACTAATTGTTGAAAACATATTGATTACAAAGAAGGGGATTCAAAAGGTCAATTTGTACAATGTTCAGAAAATAACCTATTCAACCTAGGCTACAGAAAAACAGATCCCTCTCTCATGCCTACCCAGCCAGCTACTTAATAGTATTAAACTAGTATTATTTTATTTTTAATATCAAGTTGCCAGTAGAGATGCTGACAGTAGCTTTATACAGAGCTCAAATTAAATCAGATACCCCCAACCCCTCCTCGCACCAATCACCCTATTTTCCACCTCATGCAGCACTAACCTTATGTTGTCAATCCAGCAGTCGATGGCCACCGGCACCAGCAGTTCCAGGTTGAGCCATAATGTGAAGTAAACATCAGTCTTTTTGTAGCAGATGTAGTGAACCACGCTGGGCTTGTCCAGCTTGGCCTCCAGCTGGTTCCCCAGGTCCCCAGGAACTGTGGGACAAGACAATATGATGAGGATGGCCAATAAAAGACTGGCGAAAGGCAGAACACTATCAATTTAGAGTGTGATAAAGTTGATCAGTTACCATTTATTAGCCCAATGTACTAGAAAAATCACTGAGTGTACCTCCCACCACCCTATTTCTGGAAATATTTGAAACAAACTCAGATTTAGATTTCAACATGTGAGTCTGTGAGTACATACAACCCTTTGTGACCCTGAGTCAACCACAAATTAAAAGCTGAAACCAGAAAGGAAACCCTAGGGCAGCGTTTCCCAAACTCAGTCCTGGGGACCCCAAGGGGTGCGCGTTTTGGTTTTTGCCACAGTACTACACAGCTGATTAAAATAATAAAAGCTGATGATTTGTTGAGTATTTGAATCAGCTGTGCAGTGCTAAGGCAAAAACCGAAACATGCACCGAGTTTGGGAAACGCTGACCTAGGGCAAACTTCACTGACCGCTATCACATGTATGTAGACAAATACTGCTAGGGTACCGTTAAATGTTGTAACTTGCCAAACTCTAGATAAGGCAGTGAGATACCCTTTGTTGAAACATACCATACAAACCATACTACTAACTTCTAGGCTGCTATAATTATTTTCATGATTAACTGTATAACTTGTGAATATAATTAAAGGTGATAGGATTGATCATTTTCTGTTCTCAATGCCAGCAGCTAGATAGACCGGCCGATAGATACATTGTAGCGCATGGGAAACAAACTGTCCAAGTCAAATTCTGTTCTCTTTGCCAGTCATATGACCACCCGTCAGTCGTTCGAGCCTGAATCACCGCGATGTCTCCACTAATCCGAGTAAACAATTCGAGACATAGATACTAACGTTACATTGTAAAGTTGGAGACAACAATGTAGCCTTATTAAGCATGCATCGACCAACAACAGTTTAGTTGATTTGTATATTAGCTACTTTTTACCCCCTTTATGTAAAGAAAGAATACCATTCAGTTCAACAAGAGGAACATAAAAATAAAAAAAAGGATTCTGAGAAACAGGACGCATGAGTTTCTCCTAACTAGCCTTGTTAGCTGTCTGACGTTAGCCAAGCTGTCAGGCAATCTGTTTCACAATAATGAATAGATGAAAATAGAAGAGCTAGCTAGCTTACGTTATACATCAATGATAAACAATGACCACTTACTTAGGACTACGGGAGGTTTTTCAGATCGACATGTATTGCCCGGGAGACATTTCTCCGATGTTCTGCCTTTGATGTATGGTGCCAAAATCAACAACAAACACAGCTGGAAGAGCGCTGGGATAGTCAATCCACGGGATACCATTTCTCCCATTCACTCATAACACTGGTTCCCCACCCTGGTAAAGTTGGTTTGAGATTCGATATTCGCCAGACATTCGGACCTCCAAACTTCAATAGCTGGCATACGATTTGAGCTTCACACCTCAGGTTGGGCTCTTTTATTAAGGTAAAAGGGTGTACAACATTGCACAGGTCTTATTTTCCCCCGATTCCGACCTGAGTTTCATAATCACATGGCAATGGTGGAGGCAGCCTTGCACCCCGTTAATGCAACTAGTTAGGGATCTTCAACAAAGTGCATGATCACAATATTCAAATTTCAATAGCGCTTACACCAAGTGACTTAGCAACCCAATTTCTTCTTCTGTGGTATAATGGTGTTCGCAACAATTGAATGTGCATTCCGCCACCTACTGTTCCCGTGGATAATAAGGAACCCAAAAAGGAAATAATGTAGGTTAATACATATATAAAATATCATACAAACTATAAAACATTTTTTTTAACTAAACAAAATCAACCTGCTTTTCTGCTCAGAAGACTCCTGTGAGGGCAGGACATTTCCTAGCGACAATAGTCCTTTCAGTGCTTCTGCCGTGAAGTCTTGGAGCCCCCAACACTTCTCGGCTGCAGTTATAATGATGTCCAGCTTCTTGGACTTTTTAGACATTTGTGCTGTACAATTAATCACTGTGGCTATAAATGCTACAAAATCCAATGAGGGTATCCAGATCACTTGATTGACTTAAAACACTAGCAACTGATTGTAATGCATCCACCGCCATATCTTCTTCAACACTGTGGCCTCTTGCCCTTTCGAATTTTGCCAGATCCAGTGCACGCTTCTTCTGTTCTTCATCAACAGAATGAACCAAAACAAGGCCGCTTCTAGTCACCTTGATTGAATCCACCTTTCCCACTGCTCTCTTCACAGCCCTCGATAGTAAAAATGGATTTCCCAAATTAACCTCTTTGTCCAAAAAACGCAGTCCAATAAGAAATGCATTGTTGGACCGGTCCTTGTCTTCTACTACAACTTTTGCTCATTTTGTTCCATTCCTTGATTTGACTGTTTTCCATTAATTGTTACACACTTCACTTGCCGCACTTTCAGATTCAAGCAACAATTCCATGGACGCTGCCATTTTGGAACCGTCCATCATAGCTACCTCTCTTCCACCTCCTGGAAACCCATTTTCTCTGTCCACCAACCTCATTTCAACTGTCCATTATCCCTCATAAATAATAATAATAATAATAATATGCCATTTAGCAGACGCTTTTATCCAAAGCGACTTACAGTCATGCGTGCATACATTTTTGTGTATGGGTGGTCCTGGGGATCGAACCCACTACCTTGGCGTTACAAGCGCCGTGCTCTACCAGATGAGCTACAGAGGACCAAAGAGAGGCATGTTGCACAACCTTTAGTTTTCTCATAAAAAATGTCCTACATGAAATAAATATATATATATATATATATATATATATATATATATATATATATATATATATATATATATATATATATATATACAGTACCAGTCAAAAGATTGGACACACCTACTCATTCCAGGGTTTTTCTTTATTTTTTATATTTTCTACATTGTAGAATAATAGTGAAGACATCACAACTATGAAATAACACATATGGAATCATGTAGTAACCAAAATAGAGTTAAACAAATCAAAATATATTTTATATTTGAGATTCTTCAAAGTAGCCACCCTTTGCCATAATGACAGCTTTGCACACTCTTGGCTCTCAACCAGCTCCATGAGGTAGTCACCTGGAATGCATTTAAATTAACAGGTGTGCTTTGTTAAAAGTTAATTTGTGGAATTTATTTCCTTCTTAATGCGTTTGAGCCAATCAGTTGTGTTGTGACAAGGTAGGGGTGGTACACAGAAGATAGTCCTATTTGGTAAAAGTCCAAGTCCACATTATGGCAAGAACAGCTCAAAAAAGCAAAGAGAAACGACAGTCCATCATTACTTTAAGACATGAAGGTCAGTCAATACGGAACATTTCAAGAACTTTGAAAGTTTCTTCAAGAGCAGTCGCAAAAACCATCAAGCGCTATGATGAAACTGCCTCTCATGAGGACCGCCACAGGAAAGGAAAACCCAGAGTTACCTCTGCTGCAGAGGATAAATTCATCAGAGTTAACTGCTCCTCAGATTGCAGCCCAAATAAATGCTTCACAGAGTTCAAGTAACAGACATATCTCAACATCAACTGTTCAGAGGAGACTGCGTGAATCAGGCCTTCATGGTCGAGTTGCTGCATAGAAACCACTACTAAAGGACACCAATAATAAGAAGAGACTTGCTTGGGTCAAGAAACACGAACAATGAACATTAGACCGGTGGAAATCTGTTCTTTGGTCTGATGAGTCCAAATTTGAGATTTTTGGTTCCAACCACTGTGTCTTTGTGAGACGCAGAGTAGGTGAACGGATGATCTCCGCATGTGTGGTTCCCACCATGAAGCATGGATGAGGAGGTGTGATTGTGTGGGGGTGCTTTGCTGGTGACACTGTCAGTGATTTATTTAGAATTCAAGGCACACTTAACCAGCATGGCTACCACAGCATTCTGCAGCGATATGCCATCCAATCTGGTTTGCGCTTAGTGGGACTATCATTTGTTTTTCAACCGGACAATGACCCAAAACACACATCCAGGCTGTGTAAGGGCTATTTGACCAAGAAGGAGAGTGATGGAGTGCTGCATCAGATGACCTGGCCTCCACAATCACCGGACCTCAACCCAATTGAGATGGTTTGGGATGAGTTGGACCGCAGAGTGAAGGAAAAGCAGCCAACAAGTGCTTAGCATATGTGGGAACTCCTTCAAGACTGTTGGAAATGCAGTCCTCATGAAGCTGGTTGAGAGAATGTGAAGAGTGTGCAAAGCTGTCATCAAGGCAAAGGGTGGCTACTTTGAAGAATCTCAAATATAAAATATATTTTGATTTGTTTAATACTTTTTTGGTTACTACATGATTCCATATGTGTTATTTCATAGTTTTGATGTTTTCACTATTATTCTACAATGTAGAAAATAGTAAAAATAAAGAAAAACCTTTGAACGAGTAGGTGTGTCCAAACATTTGACTGGTACTGTGTATATATAGGGGGGGCCTCCCGAGTGGCGCAGTGGTTTAAGGCACTGCATCACAGTGCATGAGGCGTCACTACAGACCCGGGTTCGATCCCAGGCAGTGTCACAACCGGCCGAGACCGGGAGTCCCATAGGGCGGCGTACAATAGGCCCAGTGTTGTCCGGGTTAGGTTAGGGTTTAGCCGGGGGGCTTTACTTGGCTCATCGCGTTCTAGCAGCTCCTTGTGGTGGGCTGGGCGCCTGCAGGCTGAATTACAGTCATCAGTTGAATGGTGTTTCCTCTGACTCCAGGTTAAGCGGGCGGGTGTTAAGAAGCGCAGTTTGGCGGACACATGACTCGATCTTTGCCTCTCCCGAGCCCGTTGAGGAGTTGCAGCAATGAGACTGGATCGCAATTGGATATAAAATTTTTTGGGGTAAATAAAAAAATCACATACATTTCAATAGCTCCTTGTTCACATGACCTAGACACCTCAAACCAACTTTGCAATGTTCAGACATGGCACACTCTTTGGTTTTCTGAATTTTATTTAATTTTCCTTTACCTTAATTTATTAGTTCAAATTTTGACTTAGAATTTAAATAGATACTAGATCACATGACCTAGGCACCTCAAACCAACTTTGTATTGTTCACAGGGTAGGGACACACATTGCACACCATTTGGTTTTCCCATAAAGCACTTACACGATTTTATATCAATATTTGAAAATGTACAAATGTAATAGCTCTTCAACCACGTGACTAAGCAACCTCATTTCAACTTCATTCAACATTATTCCTTATATAGAGAGGCAGGTTGCACAACTTTTACTTTTCTCATAAAATGATTCTTATTTTTTAAAATATATATATATTTTTTGTCAACCACTTTTTGCCAATCCCCTCTGACTTCAAAATGTCGCTCCCCTCCTCAAGAAACCAACACTCTACCCCTCTGACGTAAAAAACTACAGGCCGGTATCCCTTCTTTCTTTTCTTTCCTAAAACACTTGAGCGTGCTGTCTCTGACCAACTCTCTCACTATCTCTCTCAGAACGATCTTCTTGACCCTAACCAGTCACGCTTCAAGACGGGTCACTCAACCGAGACTGCTCTCCTTTGTGTCACGGAGGCTCTCCGCACTGCCAAAGCTGACTCTCTCTCCTCTGTTCTCATCCTCCTAGATCTTTCCGCTGCCATCGACACCGTGAACCATCAGATCCTCCTCTCCACACTCTTAGGGCTGGGCGCCTCAGGCTCTGGACACTCTTGATTTGCATCCTACCCAGCAGGGCGCTCCTACCAGGTGACGTGGAGAGGATCTGTGTCTGCACCACATACTCTCACTACTGGTGTCCCCCAGGGCTCGGTTCTAGGCCCTCTCCTCTTTTCTCACTCAGCGCCGTCATATCCACCTATGGTCTCTCCTAACATTGCTATGCGGATGACACTCAACTACTTTTCTCCTTACCCCCTGGCTGATATCTCAGCTTGGATTTCGGCCCACCACCTCAAGCTCAACCTCAAATCAAATCAAAATCAAATTTTATTTGTCACATAGACGTGTTCAGCAGATGTTATTTCGGGTGTAGCGAAATGCTTGTGCTTCTAGCTCCGACAGTGCAGTAATATCTAACAAGTAATATCTAACAATTTCACAACATATACCCAATACACACAAATCTAGTAAGGAATGGAATTTAAGAATCTATACATATGTGGCCAAGCAATGACAGAGCGGCATGGACTAAGATACAGTAGAATATTATAGAATAGAATACAGTATATACATATGAGATGAGTAGTGCAAGATATGTAAACATTAATAAAGTGACTAGTGTTCCATTTCTTAAAGTGGCCAGTGATTTCAATAGGCAGCAGCAGCCTCTAATGTGCTAGTGATGGCTATTTAAC